AGCAAGGCCAGCGAGGAAAGCCCGACCAGCGCCCGATCCTCCAGCAGCTCTATGCTGTTCTCTTGTAGGTGCAGCTCCTGCAGCCGCTGAGGGAAGGACGGGAATGCCAGGAGAAATGGCCCTGGGGACAGCTCCCCAGACTTCCCATCTCCTCCAGCCATGCAGAGTGAGCTGCACAGGAAGGCCCCACCCTTTTTGGCCCTTGGCGCTCACCGGCAGGTTTAAGAAGGTGAAATCCAGCAGTCGGGCCAGCTGGTTGCCTGCCAGGTAGAGCACGCGCAGTTGGGCCAGGCCCGCAAAGGCGCCGCCACGCAAGCCACGCAGCCGGTTGCCGGTGAGCGCCAGCTCCAGCAGACGCGGCTGCCCGCGGAAGGCGCCAGACTCCAGGGCGTGCAGGCTGTTGTTGTGCAGATAGAGGCGGCGCAGAGCCGCGAGGGGGGCCAGGGCGCTAGGCTCCAGGCGCGCGATGCTGTTGTCCTGTAGGAACAGTGTCTGTGGGCGGGAGGGGGTAAAGGGACGCTTACCTCCTTGCCCGGGCCTCTCTGTCTTGAGGCACCCCGTCCCCGCGCCCCTTGGTCTGTTGTGCCTGTGTCCCCAGCCTCGCGCCTGGTGGCCCGAGCAGCGCCCACCTGCGTGCCTGGCGGGATGCCTGGCGGGAGGACGCTCAGCCGCAGGGCGCCGCACTCCACCGTCGCGCTGTAGCAGCGGCAGGCAGCGGGGCAGCCTGCGGCGCGAGGCGGGAGCTCGGGCAATGGCAGCAGCAACAGCAGCGGCAGTAGCGACGCGGGAGCCCCCAAGGCCATTTCCTGAGAGACCGGCCTGGGACCAGGAAACTGCGGCCCCCTGAAACACAGGTTGGCAGCCAGTCCGAACGTTCAGAGGCAGTGTGAGGACAGGAATGGGGGCCTGCATGTGTCTACCCTTCAAAGCTTATAAATCAGTTCGAGCAATAAATGGTAAATAAAATGTCATAGTTTTCTCCCTGGACAAAAGCACTTATACAGATCTGCAGCATGAGGCTCCAGTGTAGAACTTTGAGACCTGACTGCACAGGTGCGAGCATGCACTGGAGGTTCCCCACAGGGACACCTGGCTCTTGCGCTCTCCACTCTGGCATCCCACCAGCCCTTGGCTCCAGGGGTGTAGGGCTGGTGCAGGGTACGGGATTAGGGACAATGCTTGGGTGGCAGTGGCTAGGAGGTAGGATCAGGCCCTGGGCAGACATGCCCTCTACCCTTGTAAGGACTGCTCTGAGGCCACAGGCAGAGCCCAGAAGAGGGACTCTGTGAAGCCTTGCGCAGTCCCTGGGAGCACCCCTGGGCTGGTCCATTGTGACTTGATCTTAAGACAGGACTGGCCTCAGCCAGCTGCCACCGGGAGGCAGGGCACAGCTCTGTCCAACGCTTGCCCTCCAGGGGCGGGTGCAGGAGTGAGGCTCAGTCACAGCTGGAGCTTCTCATAGGTAGCCTGTTAGAGAGCTGGGGCCAAGTGGACACAGAAAGGCCAGCCAGCAGCTGTGGGCCTGTGCTCCTCTCCGTTGTCCCCACTCCCAGAAGAGTGCCTCTGTCACTGGGAGTAGGTGGGGCCCTGGGACAGCGGGGCTGTGGCAAGTCCTTGGGTCACCAGGGTTTCTAGTTCCATGTCCCATGTTGGACTCAGACTGAAAGAGCGTGGGCTTGTTGGGGGCTGTATGTGTGCAATGGTGACCCTGGAGAGATGGGGAGGCTGGGGCCTGGGATGGACAATCCCCAACCTCGGCCTCACTTGTGAGTCCTGTGCACGGACACCAAGAAGCCTCAGTCTTGTACCGTGCCCTAGGTTGTAACACGCGGTCACTAAAGTCACTGAGATGACATGAGCACAGCAGTAAAGCTTTAATGGAATAGCTTCGGCCCAGGCAGGCAGTTCCCAGGTGTCCCAAGGAGCTGGGGCCGTTGTCCAGGCCCTGAGATCCATGTCCCTGAGCACAAAGGGCTGGCCTCCAGCTCCAGGCCTCACCCACCCAGCCTCCAGCAGGGAAGGTGCCAGGCCTCCTCAGAGCTCAGGGCACTGCGGTTCATGCGGACCCCCCTAGAAGCGGGTCAGTGTAGAAGGGACAGCTCAGGTGCATGAGGCCTAGGCAGGAAGAGCCCAGAAATCCTTCGCCCACGACAACCCCCCTAAACCGGCTGGAGAGATGCAGGCATCACGCACAAGGGTTCCCCGGCGGCTGTCGCTGTCTCCTGTGCGGGACGGGGTGGGCGGAGGGAAGCCCCAAGCCAGGGTCCG